CTCCAGGTGGCGGCCGTTCTTCCGCGCCTGCCGCAGGGACCGCTTGACCTTCTTGACCCGCTCGCGGAGCTGCCGGTTGCGCTTCTCCAGGGCGGCCACCTTCTGCTGCAGCTTCTTCACGTGATCCTCCTCCTCAAACAGGGCCCTCTGCACGGAGGAGCACAGGAGCTGGGGACACACACGTGGTGGAGGGAGAGCAGTGAGCTGTAGAAACGACCCAGGCGCCCCCGACCGTCCCTGCCTCAGAATGAGGATGAACTTCAGGGTGTCCTTGACCGTGAAGTGTCTGCCCTCCTCCACCCTGTGCACCCCGCCCTGACATCAAACTCAAGCTGAGCCCCTCTTCTGACTTCCTTGGAAGATACATTTTTTAAAAGATACTCTGAATATTTGTTACACACAGCAAAAGGGAAGGAGCTCCTATGACTTGCTAAAAGACCAAAACCCCAAATGGAAAAAAGCTAAAGAGAAAGAAATATGAATATCTCTTAAACATCTGAAAAGACTCCAAACCCCACCGATTAAAGCAGGGCCGGCTGGTGGCTCACACCTGTAATCCCAGCACCTGGGAGGCTGAGGCGGGTGGATTGCTTGAGCTCAGAAGTTCCAGACCAGCCTGGCAAGAGTGAGATCCCGTCTCTAAAAAACAGCCAGGCATTGTGGCAGGATTCTGTAGTCCCAGCTACTCTGGAGGCTGAGGCAAGACAATCACTTGAGCCTAAGAGTTTGAGGTTGCTGTGAGCTGTGATGCCACAGCACTCTACTGAGGGTGTTTCCAAAAAACAGAAAAGAGCAAACTAAAGCCACAGTGGATTATAAATTGCCACACATTTGATGGCCAAAATCACCAAAGAGTCAAGCTTTGGGGAAACACTTTCCTAAACTGTGCGGCGTGTAAACCTCTACCAAGAGTAGTTTGGCTCTGTCACGTGAAAACTGCACATACCTTCTGATCTCATCATTCTGAGACCTTACCTGGAATACTCTCATGTGCAAAGTGCCATTGCAATATGTGTGCAAACACCACAGCATTAAAAGACTGGAAACAAGCTAAAAATAGCCATCAAGAGAGCTCTGGCTAAATAAATTATGGTAAATCCATTCAGTAGAAAGATTTGCTGCCTTTAAAAGAACCAGGCAGGCTCGGCGCCTATAGCTCAACCGGCTAAGGCGCCAGCCACGTACACCTAAGGTGGTGGGTTCGAATCCCCAGCCCAGACCCGCCA